ATCTTTCTTAGGCAGACGATTTTAATGCATGTTCTTGCACAAAATACTCCTAAAAGTGTAGAAAAAAATTGACAGCCAAATACGAGTAGAGGAAGACACCTATTACCACCAAAAACTCATTCAACCCAAAAGTCCGAAAAAATAAAAAAGTTCCAAAAAAAATTTAATTTTTCTTAGGCACACGATTTTAATGCATATTCTTGCACAAAATACTCCTAAAAGTGTAGAAAAAAATTGACAGCCAAATACGAGTAGAGGAAGACACCTATTACCACCAAAAACTCATTCAACCCAAAAGTCCGAAAAAATAAAAAAGTTCCAAAAAAAATTTAATTTTTCTTAGGCACACGATTTTAATGCATATTCTTGCACAAAATACTCCTAAAAGTGTAGAAAAAAATTGACAGCCAAATACGAGTAGAGGAAGACACCTATTACCACCAAAAACTCATCCAACCCAAAAATCCAAAAAAATGAAAAAGTTCCCAAAAACATTTAATTTTTCTTAGGCAGACGATTTTAATGCATATTCTTGCACAAAATACTCCTAAAAGTGTAGAAAAAAATTGTCAGCGAAATACGAGTAGAGGAAGACACCTATTACCACCAAAAACTCATCCAACCCAAAAATCCAAAAAAATGAAAAAGTTCCCAAAAACATTTAATTTTTCTTAGGCAGACGATTTTAATGCATAATCTTGCACAAAATACTCCTAAAAGTGTAGAAAAAAATTGACAGTCAAATCCGAGTAGAGGAAGACACCTATTACCACCAAAAACTCATCCAACCCAAAAATCCCAAAAAATAAAAAAGTTCCAAAAAAAATTTAATTTTTCTTAGGCACACGATTTTAATGCATATTCTTGCACAAAATACTCCTAAAAGTGTAGAAAAAAATTGTCAGCGAAATACGAGTAGAGGAAGACACCTATTACCACCAAAAACTCATCCAACCCAAAAATCCAAAAAAATGAAAAAGTTCCCAAAAACATTTAATTTTTCTTAGGCAGACGATTTTAATGCATAATCTTGCACAAAATACTCCTAAAAGTGTAGAAAAAAATTGACAGTCAAATCCGAGTAGAGGAAGACACCTATTACCACCAAAAACTCATCCAACCCAAAAATCCCAAAAAATAAAAAAGTTCCAAAAAAAATTTAATTTTTCTTAGGCACACGATTTTAATGCATATTCTTGCACAAAATACTCCTAAAAGTGTAGAAAAAAATTGACAGCCAAATACGAGTAGAGGAAGACACCTATTACCACCAAAAACTCATCCAACCCAAAAATCCAAAAAAATAAAAAAGTTCCAAAAAATATTTAATCTTTCTTAGGCAGACGATTTTAATGCATGTTCTTGCACAAAATACTCCTAAAAGTGTAGAAAAAAATTGACAGCCAAATACGAGTAGAGGAAGACACCTATTACCACCAAAAACTCATTCAACCCAAAAGTCCGAAAAAATAAAAAAGTTCCAAAAAAAATTTAATTTTTCTTAGGCACACGATTTAAATGCATATTCTTGCACAAAATACTCCTAAAAGTGTAGAAAAAAATTGACAGCCAAATACGAGTAGAGGAAGACACCTATTACCACCAAAAACTCATCCAACCCAAAAATCCCAAAAAATAAAAAAGTTCCCAAAAAAATTAAATTTTTCTTAGGCAGACGATTTTAATGCATATTCTTGCACAAAATACTCCTAAAAGTGTAGAAAAAAATTGACAGCCAAATACGAGTAGAGGAAGACACCTATTACCACCAAAAAATCATCCAACCCAAAAATCCAAAAAAATGAAAAAGTTCCCAAAAACATTTAATTTTTCTTAGGCAGACGATTTTAATGCATAATCTTGCACAAAATACTCCTAAAAGTGTAGAAAAAAATTGACAGCCAAATCCGAGTAGAGGAAGACACCTATTACCACCAAAAACTCATCCAACCCAAAAATCCCAAAAAATAAAAAAGTTCCCAAAAAAATTTAATTTTTCTTAGGCAGACGATTTTAATGCATAATTTTGCACAAAATACTCCTAAAAGTGTAGAAAAAAATTGACAGCCAAATACGAGTAGAGGAAGACACCTATTACCACCAAAAACTCATTCAACCCAAAAGTCCGAAAAAATAAAAAAGTTCCAAAAAAAATTTAATTTTTCTTAGGCACACGATTTTAATGCATATTCTTGCACAAAATACTCCTAAAAGTGTAGAAAAAAATTGACAGCCAAATACGAGTAGAGGAAGACACCTATTACCACCAAAAACTCATCCAACCCAAAAATCCAAAAAAATGAAAAAGTTCCCAAAAACATTTAATTTTTCTTAGGCAGACGATTTTAATGCATATTCTTGCACAAAATACTCCTAAAAGTGTAGAAAAAAATTGTCAGCGAAATACGAGTAGAGGAAGACACCTATTACCACCAAAAACTCATCCAACCCAAAAATCCAAAAAAATGAAAAAGTTCCCAAAAACATTTAATTTTTCTTAGGCAGACGATTTTAATGCATAATCTTGCACAAAATACTCCTAAAAGTGTAGAAAAAAATTGACAGTCAAATCCGAGTAGAGGAAGACACCTATTACCACCAAAAACTCATCCAACCCAAAAATCCCAAAAAATAAAAAAGTTCCAAAAAAAATTTAATTTTTCTTAGGCACACGATTTTAATGCATATTCTTGCACAAAATACTCCTAAAAGTGTAGAAGAAAATTGTCAGCGAAATACGAGTAGAGGAAGACACCTATTACCACCAAAAACTCATCCAACCCAAAAATCCAAAAAAATGAAAAAGTTCCCAAAAACATTTAATTTTTCTTAGGCAGACGATTTTAATGCATAATCTTGCACAAAATACTCCTAAAAGTGTAGAAAAAAATTGACAGTCAAATCCGAGTAGAGGAAGACACCTATTACCACCAAAAACTCATCCAACCCAAAAATCCCAAAAAATAAAAAAGTTCCAAAAAAAATTTAATTTTTCTTAGGCACACGATTTTAATGCATATTCTTGCACAAAATACTCCTAAAAGTGTAGAAAAAAATTGACAGCCAAATACGAGTAGAGGAAGACACCTATTACCACCAAAAACTCATCCAACCCAAAAATCCAAAAAAATAAAAAAGTTCCAAAAAATATTTAATCTTTCTTAGGCAGACGATTTTAATGCATGTTCTTGCACAAAATACTCCTAAAAGTGTAGAAAAAAATTGACAGCCAAATACGAGTAGAGGAAGACACCTATTACCACCAAAAACTCATTCAACCCAAAAGTCCGAAAAAATAAAAAAGTTCCAAAAAAAATTTAATTTTTCTTAGGCACACGATTTTAATGCATATTCTTGCACAAAATACTCCTAAAAGTGTAGAAAAAAATTGACAGCCAAATACGAGTAGAGGAAGACACCTATTACCACCAAAAACTCATTCAACCCAAAAGTCCGAAAAAATAAAAAAGTTCCAAAAAAAATTTAATTTTTCTTAGGCAGACGATTTTAATGCATAATCTTGCACAAAATACTCCCAAAAGTGTAGAAAAAAATTGACAGCCAAATACGAGTAGAGGAAGACACCTATTACCACCAAAAACTCATCCAACCCAAAAATCCAAAAAAATAAAAAAGTCCCCAAAAAAATTTAATTTTCATATTTTTTCTTTGACAAATTAGTTATAATAGAAGTAACGAGTGTTCGCTAATAAATTCCCGCCTCATCGGCATTATAAATATTTTCCAATCATAAATTTTCTGTTAATATTTTTTCCTGTAAATAATTTGCAAAATTGTTGACATTTTTCGAATCATTTATATTTAATAATTGTTCATCGTCTTTCATTTTGGATAATGGAATATTGTATCTTTTTTTAAATTTTGTTAACCAACCACTGCTTGCCTGTGGAAAATAGGGGGAAAAAAAAATTTTATTTTTTTAAGAGAAAAATTATTTAAATTGAAATTCAAATTAAAAATATTAATATTAATAATTTTATATTAATAATTTTATTATATTTATATCATTATTGTTATTTTTTTTATAAAATATATAATCTATTATTATTATCATCATCAATTTAATATTTATAATTAATTATGTAATGTTTTATTTATTTTTGTTATTATTATCATTAAATTATTATTAATTAATTATCTATGATATATACATATATATTTTTAGAAAAATTTAGCTAATTTTTTTTTGCACTTTTTTATGAGAAAAATTTGAATTGGGAAAAAAACAAAAAAAAAATTCGATTTATTTTTTTAAAATATATAGATTTAATATATTCATAGATTACTAATTAATTAATAATAATTTATTGAAAATAATGATAATAATAATAAATAATATAATAATTAATTAATAAATATTATATTCATGATAATAATAATAGATTATAAATATTTTATTTAAAAAATTATAACAATAATGATATAAATTTAATAAAATTATTATTATGTACTTAAGTATATTAAGGAAATTAGTATTTTTTTATTAGGAAGCAAAATAATTAACAAAAAAAATAAATTCAATAGTGAAAATATTTTTATATTACTTTATTAAAGTTTTCTTATTATTTAGCATTTTATATAAGCGCGCTTTTTTCGACCTATAAGATAGTTGTCGTAGCGCAAGCGCAATAGCGTTTAGGTAGGGTCACTGGCAACTCTGTTCAAAAAACGCGCGACTTTTTAAAAAACACAAATGAGGGTTTTTTTTCCACACTAAAATTTATTTTACAGAGACAAAAATACATCATCGAAAACGTGCAGATTTGTTTGGATACCCTTTTATCTTATGCAAAAATAATAATTGTTTTAAAACAATGTGTTTCATCAATTAATGTACATTCTAACGTCCCAAATGTTACGATATGCGGACATTTTGTTCCCAGTATCAAGGTTGGGAATTATTCAAAATCATTGCAGGGTTGGGATGTACATCTCGTTTTATAAAAAATGTGGACTCGCCCTAAGGTGTTAATTTTGAACATAACCAAATTTTCTGTTGGTGTTTACATAATTATTTATGGTTATGTTTTTAAATATTATGTAAAATTAAATATTAATATGTAAAAAAAAAGTATTTTTTATAAACAAATTTGCAGAATCTTAATGTAAAAAATGTTAAAATCGAAATGTTTGAATTTATCTAGTCGACTGTTTCTTTCACAAATTAGAACTAAAAGTGTATCAACGCAATTTATAGATAAAAAAAGATATTTTCTAGTCAGTATTAATAATTATTCTCTTGATAGTAATAATTTAAAAAATAATTCAAAGGCTGGAAATTTCATATTAGGGGGACCGATTTTGTTGACGGTTAGAAATAGAGCATCAAAATTCGGTGTTCGTTATTCATCATCATCGACTACTTATGCAGTTGACAATATTTCGCCAATTTTAAATTACCTTCCAACAGAATCGTTAAGAGAATTTGCATTATGGATTCATTCGACGGCATCTTTGCCTTGGTGGGCTTCTATAGTTTTATATACCCTAATTATACGAATTACCATACATTCTCCAATTTCGATTTATCAAGTAAGTTATACAGAATTTTTTCTACATTTTTATATCCTAATTTCATTTTATTAATATTTATTATATTATTTTTCATCATAAATTTAAAATACTGTTTTTTTTGTCATTTTAATAAAATTTTTTTTATAATTTATAACATAATGACCAATTACAGCAACATCTCTCATATCGGATTGCAAACGTATATACGGAATTGGAGGGACATACTTGGAGATTAAAGACAGAAATGAAGAAAAAGGCCCTACAAAACGGCTGGTCAAAACGAAAAGAATTCATCGAATTGTCAAAAAGCGCAAGTCACACATTTCTTTTTTTAAAATAATATTAAAATATAAATAAATTATTAAGAAAACTTTTTTTCACACCAAAAATTAAAATTAAATAATTATTATTATTATGAAATTAAAATGAATGATTTTCATTTCAGGTTAGTGAGATAAAACAAAAAATGTACCAACGTGATAATTGTCATCCAATGAAATTATGCATAACTACAACAATGATAATGTTAGTTTTTATGAGTCAAGCTTGGGCAATACGTGAGTTATGTATTTTGCCACCTATTCCTGGTGTGTGTAAGTATCGTTTTATGTATATTAATTTTTAATTATAGACCGAATCCATGTGAAATCATGCAGGCAGTCCGATGATATATTGCGAATTAATTTCAAAATGAAGTATGTTATTCCACTTGAAAAATAAAGAAATACGTGTTTTTTTAGGGGCGGTTCAAATACTACCAATTTAAATTCTACACCGTTAAAACCCTACACGTCAAACTCTACACAGTTAAATTGCACACCGTTAAACCTTATACAATTTATTTTTTAAATTCTACACACTTAATGTGTACAATGTTAAACTCTACACAAATTTATTTTGTAGTGAAAAATTAATTTCTTTAAATTCAACACGGTTAAATTCCACAACGTTAAACTCTACATATATTTGTTTTGTAATAAAAGATTAATTTTCTTAAATTTAACACAGTTAAATTCCACATCGTTAAATTCTGCACATATTTATTTTGTAATGAAAAATTAATTGCATAAAATTCTACACAGTTAAATTGTTCACCGTTAAACCCTCCACAAACTTATTTTATAATAGAAAATAAAATTTGTTGAACTCTACACAGTTAAATTGCATATTGTTAAAGTCTAGAAAAACTAATATTATAATATAAAATTAATTTTAATAAATTCTACACCTTTAAATTGCACACCGCTAAACTCTTCACAAATTGATTTTATAATAGAAAATAAAAATGATTAAATTCTATACAGTAAAATTGCTCACTGTTAAATACTAAACAATTTATTTTTTAAATTCTGCACAATTAAATTCCACATCGTTAAATTCTACACAGATTTATTTTGAAATAAAAAATTAATTTCATAAAATTCTAAACAGTTAAATTGTTCACCTTTATACTCTCCATAAAAATCAATTTGTGAAGAGTTTGGCGGTGTGCAATTTAAAGGTGTAGAATTTATTAAAATTAATTTTATGTTATAATATTAGTTTTTCTAGACTTTAACAATATGCAATTTAACTGTGTAGAATTCAACAAATTTTATTTTATAATACAAAATAAATTTATGGAGAGTTTAACGGTGAACAATTTAACTGTGTAGAGTTTGACGTGTAGGGTTTTAACGGTGTAGAATTTAAATTGGCAGTATTTGAACCGCCCCGTTTTTTTATATTTTGATTCGATTTTGTGTGTATAATTTTTACGACTTTTTAAAGATTTTTTCAAGAAAATTAATTTTTTTGCATTTTTAAAAAAAGCATAACTTTCGTAATTTTTAACCTTTCTTGTTGCTCCTGGGCTTATTTTTTTCATTTTTTTTTACTCTTTTAAAAAAAGTTGCTCCGAATGAAAAATATTAAAAAAAACAAGAATAAAAATGGAATTTTTCGAAAAAACAAAAAAAAATTTTTTCTCAAAAATGCCAACTTTTTTTTTGCCCCAAATTTTCAGGATTTATTGGTACACATATGTACTACATACCATAAAAATTTCACTTGGTATTTTTTTGTTTCTTAGGAGAAAAAAAATATTTTCATTTTTTTGATTAAAAACTCTAAAAATCATCAAATTTAAAAGGTTTCTAACTGCTCCTTGATTCATTTTTTTACTTTTCAACATTATTTCCAAAAAATTGCGCAAAAAATAAAGAATGTTAATAATTTGCAAGAAAAATAACTTTATTTTAGAAAAAAAACGAAAAAAAAGATTTCAAAAATTTTTTTTTTTTTCAAAATTGCTTTTTAGATTTTTTATGTATTGATCAATTCTAAAAGCAATATTTAGAAAAAAAAACAATTTCAACAATCAAATCAATCGATCGGAATTATTTTCGAAAATTGCGTAAAAAACAAAAGAATGTTAATAACACTGTCCGACAAAAATGATTTTTTTTTCTGCCCCTCGGATAATTCCGGTCACTTTCGATAGATTTTTACACGCTGATTACGAATCTGCAAATAAAAATGCTCTAGCACGTCCAGTTTCTGAGAAAATTAGTGTTAAAAAGTCGAAAATGCGTGTTTTTGGCCATATTTGAATTTGAATAAAATAAAAACAAGAGGTGCTAGAATCTTGTTCTTGGGTTCAAATGAAAGCTTGAAACTTAAACAACAATTCCATGAAGGGAAAAATTAAAGGCATAATGATAAGGCTGTTAAAACTTATTTTTTCATTTGCGATTAATTTTGTCATTTTTCATATTCAACGAACACTGTATATAAACCTAACATTTTGAAACAAGTGACAAGCAAGTGAATGAAACATCATTCGAATTTGAAAATTTTTCAGTTGACTTTCAGGTTACTTATTATCTAATTAATTTTCTATTAACTATTTTCGTCAATCGTGACGAGTATAAACACACAAACTTTAATAAATAATAAATAATTATCACAAATAACAAAATTTCACAATACACCTAAAAAAGTTTATATAATTAACATCTTATTAGTTTCATTTAACATAAAATACACAAATACAATATTTAAAATTCTATGCGATAGATAAAAAATTTCAAAATATATCTTAAAAAATTTTCAAAAGATGTCTTTGAATTTTTAATATTCATATTTTTAAAATTCACACTTTAAAGATATTATTATTTAAAATCAGTTTAATTTTGTTAATTTTGCCTTCCTCTTTAATTTTTTTTTTATTTAAATATTAATTTAACCTATATGTAATAATTGAAAGTTAATTATTTATTACTGTATTTTGTTAATAAAAACAATTCGGCCCAGCGTTCTGCAGAAGTCTTCAAAAAACTGTATAGTGAACATTATCTTATTTAAATATGGTTTAAAGAAGGTAAGTTTAAAAATTAATAGATAATAAGTAACCTGAAAGTCAGGTGAAAAATTTTCAAATTCGAATGATGTTTCATTCACTTGTTTGTCACTTGTTTTAAACTATTAAGGTTATACACGGTGTTCGTTGATTATGAAAAATGACAAAATTAATCGCAAATGAAAAAATAAGTTTTAACAGCCTTATCATTATGCCTTTAATTTTTCCCTTCATGGAATTGTTGTTTAAGTTTCAAGCTTTCATTTGAACCCAAGAACAAGATTCTAGCACCTCTTGTTTTTATTTTATTCAAATTCAAATATGGCCAAAAACACGCATTTTCGACTTTTTAACACTAATTTTCTCAGAAACTGGACGTGCTAGAGCATTTTTATTTGCAGATTCGTAATCAGCGTGTAAAAATCTATCGAAAGTGACCGGAATTATCCGAGGGGCAAAATCATTGTCGGACAGTGTAATTTTTAAAAATATCTAATTTTTTTATAGAAAAAAAAAAAACGAAACAAATAGGTTTCAAAAATATTTTTTTTATACGTACATTTTTGTTTGTCAAATCGTTTTAAAAGGAAATATAAAAAGTAGTTTAATAGAACCCGAAAAAATAACAAACAAAAAATGTACGTATAAAAAAAATATTTTTGAAACCTATTTGTTTCGTTTTTTTTTTTCTCTAAAAAAATTAGATATTTTTAAAAATTATTAACATTCTTTTATTTTTTGCGCAATTTTCGAAAATAATTCGATCGATTGATTGGATTGTTGAAATTGTTTTTTTTTTTCTAAATACTGCTTTTAGAATTGATCAATTTTTTGCGCAATTTTCGAAAATAATGTTGAAAAGTAAAAAAATGAATCAAGGAGCAGTTAGAAACCTTTTAAATTTGATGATTTTTAGAGTTTTTAATAAAAAAAAATGAAAATATTTTTTTTCTCCTAAGAAACAAAAAAATACCAAGTGAAATTTTTATGGTATGTAGTACATATGTGTACCAATAAATCCTGAAAATTTGGGGCAAAAAAAAGGTGGCATTTTTGAGAAAAAATTTTTTTTGTTTTTTCGAAAAATTCCATTTTTATCCTTGTTTTTTAATATTTTTCATTCGAAGCAACTTTTTTTAAAAGAGTAAAAAAATTTTTTAAAAAAAGCCCAGGAGCAACAAAAAAGGTTAAAAATTACGAAAGTTATGCTTTTTTTTAAGCGAAAAATGCAAAAAAATTAATTTTCTTGAAAAAGTCGTAAAAACTACACACAAAATCGAATCAAAATATAAAAAAACACGTATTTCTTTATTTTTCAAGTAGAATAACATACTTCATTCTGAAATTAATTCGCAATATATCATCGGACTGCCTGCATGATTTGACATGGATTCGGTCTATATACAATAAAATACACTTTTAGTTATTGTTATTTTAAATTCAAATTATTTTCTATTTCATCTAAATTTATCAATTAATTGTTTAATATTCCATTTTTTGACTCGATTTATTTTTTAGGGTAAGTGGGGCATTAAACTTGGATGCTACTTACTTACAGAAACCTCCCCCACCCTTACTTTATATAATTATAAATTATATTATTATTATTATATATTATATTGATATATTATTTTATTAGCTGAAGTTACAAGTTTGGAATTAGCAGTAGGTGGCATTGGATGGTTTAAAAATCTTATGGAAAACGACAAATATTTTATCCTTCCAGTTATTACTGCCTTTTTAACATACAGTAACATTAAGGTAAACGTGACATTTTTATAAATGTAAATAAATAAAAAAAAAAAAAAAATTTAATTTAACATAAACTTTATATTTATACAATTTTTTTAAATTAAAAACAATATTGTTTTCCAAATTCAAAAAATTCTTTAAATATTTTAAAAATTGATTCACCACTATTAATTCATTAAACATTTCAAATTTACTCTAAAAAATTGTGTTTTTTAAAATTTTAGTATTTTTCTATTATTTTAAAGTAAATTCTAGAAAAATTTAAAAGATTTTATAGTAAGTTTGGAATTAAAAATAAAAAATTAGTTTGTAATTAATAAAAAGTTGGAAAAATTGTAAGATGTTTTTTTTTCACTTTTCACAGGTACAATATATGCTTTATCCAAATTTAACACAGTCAAAATTGTGGAAAATAATTAGAAAATCAATGATTATTTTCTTCCCACCATTTACTCTATTGGTTACATCGCAATTGCCAACCGTAACTACTTTTTGAATTTTCACTTTTTTCATATATTTTTTTAAAATACGAAGAGAAAAACGACTGAATTTTTTTTTGTCATTTCAGGCCGTAATTGTGTCTTGGATAACGAACAATCTTTTTACAGTCACTCAAACAATATTATTTGCACAACCAAAATTTCGCCGTTTAATTAGACTCCCGAAAGTTGAGAATGAAATCGATCAACCATTAACGTTATTGGCCAATGGTTTAAAGCAAAAATTGAGACTTGTACCAAAGACAAAATCATCGTAATTTCTCTGGTAAAAAACTATATAAAGAAAAAAGAAAAAAAAATCAAGTGAGTAAAATTTTTCTTTCTATTTCACATATTATTTGTTATTATATTAAGTCTTTTTCTTTATTTTTTCAACAAAAATTATTGTGATGCTTTCGTCAATGGATTTGTAATTCTTGGATTTTTGTCCATATTATTGAAAAAATTTAGCATTTCTGATGGCGAAATCATACCAGATGTTCGATTCGATGTTTGTAATCCCGATGGACAGGCTTTTGAATTGTGCTTCGAATTTGTGGCTAAATCTGCAATTGATTTTTTTTTCTATCAAGAAATTAGTGTAAATAAAATTTTCTAAAATTATTTATTAATTAATCTTTTTTATAACTTTGCGTGTTTTTTATCAAAATTAGGAAAAAGTGAAATATTTTTTTTTTAAAAAAATCATAAAGAGAGAAAAATAATAGAAAATAAATAAAATTTGGAGAAAATTGAAATGTATAAGATAATTTTAAATTTACTGTGAGTATTGTGATCCACGTTGTTACAAAATTTTGGAAAAATTGATCTTGCTTTTGTCGTAGGTGACGATGAACATTCGTTTATCGATGAATCCGGGTACATTAATTTTTGTCGTGAATTTTTCCCTTTTAATTCGGACATTTGCTTCATTCTATAGTCCTCGAGGTACGAAAGGAATTCCCGGTACGTTACATAATTCTAATGTTCCCGAAAAAGATTTCAGAAATTTTTAATGAAAATTTTGTTGATTTAAAAAAAAGTATCCGTTTCTTTAAATTCGAAATTCTTTTTTGAGAATAGAAATTTGATTTTTTTTCAAATTGGAATTTGTAAAAATAAAAAAACGAACCTTGTCTTCGCCCGCCCAGTTTCGATTGGTCGGTTCCGTTAGTCCCAGCAAATCAATCCAGTGATAATAATCTTCCGTTTGATTTCCATACCAGTATTTAATAATGACGAATCTGAAAAATTAAATTGAAATAAAAAAAAGAAATTTGATTCTTTTAAAAGTTTTTAAATTTCGAATGTTATAAAAAAAAAACATTAGAAATTATGAAAATATTATAAAGAACATAAAATAGAAAATAGAAAATTTAAAATATATTGTTAAAATTTCAATAAACAAAAAATTAATATAAAAAAAGATTTTTTTTTAGAATTTGCATTACGCGAGGCCATCGTCCACCATTTTCTGCACTTCCGGACATGACATGAGTTCCATAAATTCAGGATTCTCTGGATTTCTTTTCACGTCAACCAACTGCCATGGAGCAATCAAACCAAAACGAACGCATTTCAATACATCGAGCATATTTTTCTTTCTATTCTCCCAATCGTGCATCAACCATCGAACGGCTGACATTAAAACTTCCATTTCACTGAAAAAAAAAGCATTTTTCTTTTATTTTCTTCTCATTTCATTCTGTGTATGCTACATTTTTCTTGACTGTTTTTTTTTATCTTTCTGAAGAAAGTTTGAAAAAAATATTATTTTTTACCTATTAACACAAATATAATTCGATTTTAAAAGTAGACAAAGTTCTTCTACAGCAAGTTCCAAAAAGTCTTTTGTGCTCACGAGCATTAGGAAAAATTTCATTATCCTCGGTACCATTAATTCCATAACTGCTGTATTACTAATTTTTCGTGCTTCCAAATATAAGAGGAACGCCGTGTCCTCGGAGAATAATTCATTGTTATCGATAAATGCCCAACACTGCTCTTCTAATTCTATATATATATTTTTTATTTTATTGTTTTCTGGTCTTTGTTTTTGCAAAAAAATTCTTCATATGCATTTAAATATACAACAAACCTTTGATTCCTAAATATTGAGCAGCAACGAAAATTTCTAAAATATTGTCCCGCCTCAAAAGTTGGCAACTTTCGTTATTTGAGGTGATCATCCAATCGTAAATTAACGAAAAGGCTTTTGATGTAACGCTGCTCTATTGTATATATATATATATAATAATTTTTTAGTATTATAATATACCTAACGTTACATTAAATATAAATATTTAATTTATTTATTTATATATTATTATATTAAATATTTTATAAATTTAGAATGTCAAGAGTTTGAATTTCGCGCCACAATCATTTGAAAGTACGGCGCGAAATTAATAAAAATAAAACTTACGCCCGATAAATCAATTTCTTTGCAATTTTTTGCATCAAAAAAGCAACTATAACTTTGAAGGACCAATAAGTGACAGTGAAATTCGTCTTCTTCGATTTTCACTATACAGTCGGCATTCCTGTCGTAAAAAAAAAAAATTTGTGTGCTTCTTTTTTTTATAAACTACTGTTTCTATTGTATATTTGAAAAGAAATTAGTAAATAAGTTTGATTACAAAAGATAATCTATAAAAATGCGAGTTCATTTGTAGGATTCAATTAATTCAGATTAAATATAATTTCTCACTGAATTAAATTACCTACATAGTACTCTGTCGGTACAATCAAAATTTGACTAATTGAAATTAAAAAATATATTTCTATCATATAAATAACTTTTTATTAGTTTCAAATAAAAATGTTGATTAACAAAAATAAAAAAAAATTTATTTGAATGGAATAAAATTTGTTTTAAAAAATATATTTCTATCATTTAAATAACTTTTTATTAGTTTCAAATAAAAATTTTGATTAACAAAAATAAAAAAAAATTTTTTTTGAATGGAATAAAATTTGTTTTACATGGCAATCTTATCTTTTTTGGGAGAAAAATGGTTTGATTATTGTATACATGATTAAAATGCGACTCACTTGTAATTAGTGATTCGATTGGCGAGTTCATGATACAAATCTGTTTTTTCAGGAAGATTTATTACTTCCCATTCAATTGGCTGATCAATTGTGAAACCGAGTCTAAAATGTTGAAAAAACTGTTTAATTTCTTTTTTTTTTGCATTTTCTGGTAAATTATTTTCTAGTGTAAAAAAAGAATAGGCTTTCCTTCTTCTTTTTTTTTTTTTCTTGTTTTCATAATATTAATCATGTCAAAATTTTTTAGTTCTTACGAGGATAGAGGGATTTCCTGAGGCGATGGTAGTTGGGGAGTGGACCCTTTTTGCTCAGTCAGATTCTGTTCCATCTCTCCCGGATGAGCCGTTGCTTTCGATCGATACGGTTGCGTCCTTGGCCTATATATTGGCGTAATACGAGGGAGTCTCTCCTGGACCTAAAAACCCAGCCCCAGATTCAAATTAAATTCCACAACAAGGGTCAAATTTTTGCTCCCATTTATATATATATATATATATAATTAATTGCTCTTAATATATATTTCCCTCATTCACAAAATTTTCTTTTCTGTGTTTTTTTATTGAATTGTTTTTTTTTTTGTTTCTAATTTAAAAAAAAAAAAATTATATTATTTCTTTCTTTTTTCGAAGGAATACCGGATATTTATAATTTTGTGAAAAAAATACTTGTAGTTGATTAACAGTCGAGTATGTGATTCCAGGCGGAAATTGTATTGAATCCTGAGCAATGATTTCAAGATCGGATTTTTCTAATTCGTCATTTACATTGACTTGTGTCTTCTCAGGATCAGCGACCAAAACACTCACTTTTTTTGACTCATAAACTACCTATAGATAAAAGAAAATTTCAATTTGTATTATTCGGATAAAAAAAATAAGTTACGTTTTTTTTCAAAAATTTTAGAAAAATAATATATTTAATCTAAATATTTTTGAATGCACTTTCTTTTTAATTATAAACTGACCGAATCCATGTGAAATCATGCAGGCAGTCCGATGATATATTGCGAATTAATTTCAGAATGAAGTATGTTATTCTACATGAAAAATAAAGAAATACGTGTTTTTTTATATTTTCATTCGATTTTGTGTGTAGTTTTTACGACTTTTTCAAGAAAATTAATTTTTTTGCATTTTTCGCTTTAAAAAACATAACTTTCGTAATTTTTAACCTTTTTTGTTGCTCCTGGGCTTATTTTTTTCATTTTTTTTTACTCTTTTAAAAAAAGTTGCTCCGAATGAAAAATATTAAAAAACAAGGATAAAAATGGAATTTTTCGAAAAAACAAAAAAAAATTTTTTCTCAAAAATGCCACCTTTTTTTTGTCCCAAATTTTCAGGATTTATTGGTACACATATGTACTACATACCATAAAAATTTCACTTGGTATTTTTTTGTTTCTTAGGAGAAAAAAAATATTTTCAATTTTTTTGATTAAAAACTCTAAAAATCATCAAATTTTAAAGGTTTCTAACTGCTCCTTGATTCATTTTTTTACTTTTCAACATTATTTCCAAAAAAATTGCGCAAAAAATAAAGAATGTTAATAATTTGCAAGAAAAATAACTTTGTTTTAGAAAAAAACGAAAAAAAAGATTTCAAAAATTTTTTTTTTTTCAAAATTGCTTTTTAGATTTTTTATGTATTGATCAATTCTAAAAGCAATATTTAGAAGAAAAAAAAACAATTTCAACAATCCAATCAATCGATCGGAATTATTTTCGAAAATTGCGTAAAAAACAAAAGAATGTTAATAATTTTTAAAAATATCTAATTTTTTTATAGAAAAAAAAAAAACGAAACAAATAGGTTTCAAAAATATTTTTTTTATACTTACATTTTTTGTTTATTATTTTTTCGGGTTCTATAAAACTACTTTTTATATTTCCTTTTAAAACGATTTGACAAACAAAAAATGTACGTATAAAAAAAATATTTTTGAAACCTATTTGTTTCGTTTTTTTTTCTCCAAAAAAAAATTAGATATTTTTAAAAATTATTAACATTCTTTATTTTTTACGCAATTATATAATAATAAAATGCTTGGTCTGTCCTTCTGTCCTAACTTGAAGTTGGCCTTTTCTAATTGCACGTGTTTTTTTGAATAGTTAAAAATAATTGAATTTCCTTAGAGTTATAATTGAAATTATTAAAATTCAAAAAAAAAAAAATTTTCGAGGGAAAATTTTAGAAATAATTAAATTTTAGATGCTTTTAAATTCAAATTATTGAAAATTCAATTAATTTTGAATTCAAATTTTTGAGAATAATGAAATTTTATTTGATTTTAAATTTGGAAAATAATTGAATTTCAGTTCATTTTGAATTGAAAATTTAGGGAAATAATTGAATTTTAATTGAAATTTTGGATAATAATTTAATTTAAGTTCATTTTTGATTGAAAATTTGGATAATTAATTTTGAATAGAAATTTTTGGAAAATAATTGAATTTTATTTGATTTTAAATTGAAAACTTGGTAAATAATTAAATTTTAAATTGAAAATTTTGGATAATTATTGAATTTTAATTGATTTTGAATTAAAATTTCGGGTAATAATTGAATTTTAGTTTATTTTGAATTGAAATTTTTCAAAAAATAATTCAATTTTATTGTGATATTTTTTTTTTTTTAAATTATAAACAATTGCTAAATTTCATAAAAATTTTAATTGAAAAATAATTTTGATATAATTGAATTTGTGATGTATTTCATTAAAATTATTAAAAATAATTAATTTAGTGAAGAATCATTTTAGTTCAAAAATTTGTTAAATAATTGAATTGAAGAAGATCTGAAGAAGATCTACATTTTATACTAAAAAAAATGTATTTTATTTACATTTTTTATTTTCAAATGTAAAAAAAAATGTCGCATTTTATTAAAATAAGTCGATAAAAGTCGTATTTTTGAAAAAAGTCAGGAAAAAGTACGAAAGCTGAAGTACGCAACGTTTATGATAAACGATTTTTAAAGAAATAGTTTTTTAAAATGAAAAATTTTATAATTTTTTGCTTAAAAAATATTTTTTTTTATAATTTGTTGATTAGTGAAAACTACAAGAAATATTTTTTTATGCAAAAAATTATAGAATTTTTCATTTTAAAAAATTATTTCTTTAAAAATCGTTTATCATAAACGTTGCGTACTTCAGCTTCGTGAAAAAGTCGTATATAATCCGAGGCCTGTAAACATATAATTTTCAATTATTATCATTTAATATGTAATAATATTCTAATAAATTAAATTATTATTGATAATATTAATCTTTAATTTCTTTATAACAAATAATTAAATACTCAATTTGGCGCGTGTTTAATTTTGCTATAGTTTTCGAAAATAATTCGATCGATTGATTGGATTGTTGAAATTGTTTTTTTTTTTCTAAATACTGCTTTTAGAATTGATCAATTTTTTGCGCAATTTTCGAAAAAAAATTGTTGAAAAGTAAAAAAATGAATCAAAGGAGCAGTTAGAAACCTTTTAAATTTGATGATTTTTAGAGTTTTTAATAAAAAAAAATGAAAATATTTTTTTTCTCCTAACAAAAAAATACCAAGTGAAATTTTTATGGTATTTAGTACATATGTGTACCAATAAATCCTGAAAATTTGGGGCAAAAAAAAAGGTGGCATTTTTGAGAAAAAATTTTTTTTTGTTTTTTCGAAAAATTCCATTTTTATCCTTGTTTTTTTTAATATTTTTCATTCGGAGCAACTTTTTTTAAAAGAGTTAAAAAAAAATGAAAAAAATAAGCCCAGGAGCAACAAAAAAGGTTAAAAATTACGAAAGTTATGCCTTTTTTGAAGCGAAAAATGCAAAAAAAATTAATTTTCTTGAAAAAGTCGTAAAAACTACACACAAAATCGAATCAAAATATAAAAAAACACGTATTTCTTTATTTTTTAATAACATACTTCATTCTGAAATTAATTCGCAATATATCATCGGACTGCCTGCATGATTTCACATGGATTCGGTCAATTACAATAATAGAAGGTAATATTTTAATTTTCTATTATCTAATTAATTAATTTTTTTTTTTTTTTTATTAAAACTAAAGTTATTTTTAATTTTTCATCGAAAAAAATAAGTTGTTAGCTATAGCAAAATAAAGATGAAAAAATTAGGACAAACCTGATCGGGAATAATTTTCAGGTTGCCACTGGGCGTTGTCTGAAAGGGAAATCCTTTTTTGCTCTCGTCAGTATCTGCCGATTCTCGGAAATTGCTTTTGTGCATGTGCTGCATTAAAAATTCAAGTCCCAATTCACCTTGGTATTTTTTGTGTGTTACAGTTTCTTCAGATGAAAGACTGAAAATTTCATTTTTCTTTCAATTATAATTTAATTAATACATAGGCATAACACAGAAAATTAAAAGGTATTAAAATAAGCTGCAACGCTTATTATTTTAATCCAATTTTGCTTATTTTAATCCATTTTGGTATTAAAATAAGCAACATTGGATTAAAATAATAAACGTTGCAGCTTATTTTAATGCCTTTTAATTTTCTCCGAATATTTCGATAATGATTTTACATATTTGATAATGAAAAATGTTTAAAAAAAAAAAATGAAATTACACACTTGGGATATTGGGCCATTAGTTTTTCCGGGGACGACTGTGATTTTTCAGAAACGAAGCATTTTTGCCTCAGCTTCCTCGATTGATTAAATTCACTTCCCCTCTTGCCACCGTCGCTTATTCTTTTTCTCGTGTGTTTCCGCTCCGAGGAATTGACGGAATCTTTCACGGCTCGACGTAATGTCCTTGAGTAAGAAGTAGCTTTTGACTTTGATATTCTTCTGCAAGTGCTTTCAATTTCCCGACAATTAAATGCACTTGGCTCAACAATTTTCCCTTCGCCAATTGTCAATCTCTCGATCCGCGGTGTACAACTGGACTTTTGCCTTGTACTCGAAGTCAAACTCTCAAAAAGCTTAGCTGTCTCTGATGCGGTTAATCTTCAATTGATTTTTGTTTTTTTAAATTCAATTTCATGAATAATTTAAATAAATAAATTTTGTTAGAATTTTTGTGCAAATTTTTTTTTGCTTTCTTTGAAGATGGAGAAAATGAATGAAAATTGAACCTTTGCTTTTGAAAAACTTTCGATGATGGACTTGTGTCGATTTGCGTTTGATGATCTTTTGATTTAAGTAACGATCTTTCTGATTGTGATAATCGAACTGAAGATTTCGAGGATCCTGTCGATGTTGAGACGGTTTTTTCAATTGCTTTATTGAAATAAATGACCGATGTGGCTTTTCCCAAACAAACGTTCGATGCTGACAATGTTGAATTCCTATTTAGGTCAACTAAACAGAAATTCAAGTCGAAAAACCAAAATTATTAGTTTAGAAGAAATTATTATTTTCTATAGCAATTGAATTTTTTTTCTCATAATTAAACCAACTTTTCAATTTGTTTTCTGTAAATTTAATTTAATTTAATTTCTAAATTTATATTTATTTTCCTTACATTTTACAATTTGCTGACGAATCGCCTTTATTGTACGCGGTGTTCCTTTTCTCTTGATCTCTGGAAAATTTTGTTTCTTTGTATTTTATTACGAAAAATTTTAATATTGTTTGTTTATTATTTTTCTTTTCAATTTCTTTTCAAGCAAAAATCAACTTACATTACTTACGTAAATTTACCTGAATGGAATTTTCAAATTCTTGATGGTATTTTAATCTTGCAACTTGACAGGATTTACAAGTTCTGCTGTCAAACAGTCTTCATAATAATATTGATAATTTCTTTAATACTTTTTTAATTATTATTTCTTTTTGTGAATTTTTAATATTTCATTTATTTTCATAGTTTTGTTGATTATCGAAAAAAAATTGTATAAAATCAAAAAAAAATTACAATATTCATTCTAAGAAATTATTATTATTATTATGTTTTTTTTTGAAAAGTATTTTACTTCTTTTTACTTGAAAAAGATATGATATAAATTTTTATATGGTTATTTAATAAAAAAAAAAAAAATAGCACTATTTCTCACCTTGTCATAGCCTATATATACAAAATACTCAATTGGTATTCGTACAGAAAAATTTGCAAATAGAAATCATGAATTCGAATTATTATTCAAAATATTCCTTTCCTTATTTAAATTCAACGTTTGTTGGGGGAAAAAAAAACTATAATTAAAAAAAAAAAATCGACGTCTGATTTGACAGGAATTGTGAAATATTAAAATACACATGAAAATGCAGAGGAAGTCATGAAAACAAGAACAATTGAAAATCTCGATTTTTTCAAAACACGGAAATATTAAAATTATACCTAAATAATTTAATTAACGATTTTGTTTTATAAATGATTAATTTTCAATTATTTTAGCTAATAATTAAATATAATTCTAAAAAATAATTATTAGTTGCATCAACTAACAATAATTGCTATATCCAATAATAAGAATATAAGGTAGCCAACTTTTTTTTGCTCCGAAAACATCGTTTTCAAGTTTTTTTTTTTTTTCAATTCATGAATATTAATTTCAAGGGATTACCGCGGGGTAAATAAAGTGAAAAAAAAAAAAAAAATGAAAAAAGAGAGAGAAAACAAGATACAAGAAGGGGAGAAACAGCTTGACATTAAGAATATTTTGCTAGGGGTAGTTGCTGTGCTCATCAACTGTGTGGAAGGTTTGGTTGTGCTTTGCTGGCAGGCTGCATCGATCGCATCAACGTTCTGGTGACCTCGACCCAATGCCACCGTCTTCCACTCTCGTATAGGAGACCAACTCTACGTTGTTTTTCGGATCTGGACCGAAATGAGCTTTTTAATACAAAAAAAAAAAGAGAGAGAGAGAGGGAGGGAAAAAAATATTTTTCTTTATAATCATTCAAAAATTTTACAATTATAATTTGTAAACTAATTTTTTTTTCTTACATTACTTTCATTTTTATTTTCAAATATATTTACAGCAGGATCCATATGAACATTGTACCCTATAATATACAATATTCAAAAATTTTATTGACATACTACTTTAAAATCTACATATTTATAATTTTTACCCTTTTCAAGAAATTATATTTGTCGTATGTACATACACTGCAAAAATAAGTGACTTACTTGGTATCTTACAATAAGATGTAATATATGAAAAAATGGTATATCTTCACGGAGAAAAAAGATTTCTTTTATAAAGTAACTTTTACTACTTTCAGAGTAAAACTGGACCAACTCGAAGTTTCTGCGCATCTCTGGCAATTTTTACTCCAAAAATAGTAAAATTTACTCTAGAAATAGTAAAACTTACTACGGAAACAGTAAAATTTACTACAGAAATAATAAATTTTACTATTTTTGGAGTAAAAATTGCCAGAGATGCGCAGAAACTTCGAGTTGGTCCAGTTTTACTCTGAAAGTAGTAAAAATTACTTTTTCTTTTTCTCCGTGTTCTATCTTAAAAAAAGATATTTTGTAAAGTATCTTATATTAATATTTAAGATGCTTTTTGCGTTTTAACAAAAATGAAAATATTTCTTCCATATCTTAAAATGTAAATTACTTTGGTAAGTTTCTATAAGTAACTTGAATTAAGATATTTGTGGAGTCATAAGATGTTTGGAAAAAAGATGCTTGTATACACTCTAAATCTGAATTAGTAAAAATATTTACTAATTTAAATTAGTGACTCACTTTTTGCTTTAGAATTAGTTAAATTTTACTAATTGTTTGTAAAAGTTACTAATAATTAGTAAAATTTCACTAATTTAGAAGCAAAAAGTGAGTCACTAATTCAAATTAGTAAACATTTTTACTAATTCACATTTAGAGAGTAAATTCTAAGATATACGTCAGAATTTGAAGTTATACTAAAATATAAAATACATTAAACATCTTACAGAAGAGGTCGTAGTTAATCTCAAAATTTTTTTTCATCAAAAATATGTGAAGCACTTTGGCAAAGATACTATTAATATCTTAAACTAAGATATTTCAAATAACTAAAAAGTTACTAACAAACATCTTAAAAATGACTACCAAAACATCGATACTTCTTTTTGCAGTGTATATCATACACTTTTGATGAAAATGACTTTTCTGCAGATTAGACCTTATATGTATGATATTTATACTGACAGTATATATTGGAATTAGGAGAACTAAAGCTCATTTATCAATATTATCTGCTCTACTTTTGGTCCACTTGCATCCGAAGAAGGGGAATAAAGGATACGGAGCAAGTTGCCAAGGTTACGCTCGCGTCATAACTACCCTGCAGGCCCAGCCTTTACTTCTATACCTATTATATATATAGGTATATATATATATATTTATATACCCTCTGGATGTTTGTTTCTTTTTTTTTTTTTTTCTTTTTTCTAAACATAATCTCTTTACACTAATGGAAATATACAAATTTTTTCAACTTGTTTAATGACATTTGGCTTTCACGAATTCCTATTTATATACATATACGTATATAATTCTCCCTTGCCCTTTCGATGCAATATATTGATTTACCAAATTAAGGACAGAAGGGCTCGACTACAAATACTAAAAAAATTTATCGATTTCACTATATACCTTCAGGACTACTAATATATATATGGGGCATTCTATTTTAAAATTATACCCCTAGTAAACAATTGACAATATAAGACATTTTTTAAATAATTATTTTTCCCATTTAATTAAATCAAATTACTTTTGCAATGAGTGGTTTCGAAAGAGAAATTTCTAAACTTTATTATTGTAAAAAAAATTTTTTAAAAAAATGTTTAATTAGCATAAAAAATTTAGTTTGAAGGTTAAACTTATAAATATCTCAAAACACGTTGTCTCCGATTTTGACAAAATCTGTGTCAAAAGAAAGCTTAAATATTCTATTTTTTATTTCCATAAAGTTTATAATGGACATTTTCGAGGATTTGGAGAAATTAATTAAAATTCTCAGACATTTCAAAGGTTAAAAAGGGTTGAAATTTGCATGAATATAGAGAACCTCTGTTCAAATACAGCGGCATTTGTTTTTATGAAATTTTTAAATAAATAAATTTTAAAACTTCAATTTTAATCTTAATAATTTTTTTAAATTTGAAAAATTTTTAATTGCAAATAGCTAAAGAACAATATATTTATTGTTTACAATATTTTTTTTCTCTAATGTCAAAATGATGTAATAATGTAAGGTTAATGGAAATTAAATTTAAAAAACAAAATCCGCTCTTAAAGAAATGGTTCTCCATATTCATATACAAATTTCAATCCTTTTTAACCTCCGAAACATTTGAGAATTTTAATTAATTTCTGGAAATTCTCGAAAATGTCCATTATAAACTTTACGGAAATAAAAAATAGCACAGAAAATTAAAAGGCATTAAAATAAGCTGCAACGCTTCTTATTTTAATCCAATTTTGCTTATTTTAATCCATTTTGGTATTAAAATAAGCAAAATTGGATTAAAATAAGAAGCGTTGCAGCTTATTTTAATGTCTTTTATTTTTCTGTGAGAATATTTAAGCTTTCTTTTGACATAGATTTTGTCAAAATCGGAGACAACGTGTTTTGAGATATTTACAAGTTTAACCTTCAAACTAAATTTTTTATACTATTTAAATGTTTTTTTGAAAAAATTTTTTTACAATTTGTAAAGTTTAGAAATTTCTCTTTCGAAACCACTCATTGCAAAAGTAATTTGATTTAATTAAATGGGAGAAATAATTATTTAAAAAATGTCTTATATTGTCAATTGTTTACTAGGGGTATAATTTTAAAATAGAATGCCCCATATAATTTATACTTCACAGAAAATTAAAAGGCATTAAAATAAGCTGCAACGCTTCTTATTTTAATCCAATTTTGCTTATTTTAATACCAAAATAGATTAAAATAAGCAAAATTGGATTAAAATAAGAAGCGTTGCAGCTTATTTTAATGCCTTTTAATTTTCTGTGTTATTACTTTAAATATGTTTGAATTTTTTCTTTATTAGATTATAATATATGTATCGTAATTTAAAAAACCAAAGGTATTATAGTTATATTGAAAGGTCTTTAGAAATGTTAAATTTACCATATATAGTATAATTTACTTTAGTGTCAAATTTGTTCTTTACAATACAGAAACTAACGTATAGTATATAAACTTTATCATAATGTTGAGTAATTTGTCCCATATAATGCGTATAGTAACACAGAAAATTAAAAGGCATTAAAATAAGCTGCAACGCTTCTTATTTTAATCTAATTTTGCTTATTTTAATCCATTTTGGTATTAAAATAAGCAAAACTGGATTAAAATAAGAAGCGTTGCAGCTTATTTTAATGCCTTTTAATTTTCTGTGAACTACAGAAGAAAAAAAATGTACTACACTGCAAAAAGAAGTGTCTTAATATAAGATATGTTTTGGTAGTCATTTTTAAGACGTTTTGGTAGTAACTTTTTAGTTATTTAAAGTGTCTTATTTTAAGATGTTATAATAGGAATAAAGCATATCTAAATATTAAAATTAACATCTTATTCTAAGATGGAAGCGAATGGAAGTTACCATTTCCGTCTTAACATCTTGTTTTAAGATACCAAGAAGATACCAAACTTTTTGCAGTGTATATTTTCGTGTATAATTTTTTCTATAAATTAAAAACAAAAATTAAATACACGGAGAAAAAGAAAAAGTAATTTTTACTATACTTTCAGAGTAAAACTGGACCAACTCGAAGTTTCTGCGCATCTCTGGCAATTTTTACATCCAAAAATGGTAAAATTTTATTATTTCTGTAGTAAATTTTACTGTTTCCGTAGTAAGTTTTACTATTTCTAGAGTAAATTTTACTATTTTTGAAGTAAAAATTGCCAGAGATGCGCAGAAACTTCGAGTTGGTCCAGTTTTACTCTGAAAGTAGTAAAAGTTACTTTATAAAAGAAATCTTTTTTCTCCCATGTAAAATTTACTATACTGTGGGGTAATTTATCATATGACATATTATAAATCTCTTTAAAAAGTTCCATTAATATCGAAGTGTATCTTAAAAATATATAATAATATATATTATATATTGAATGTGGGGAAATTTTTTTTAATTTGATAAAAGTGTTTAAAAAAGGGATGAAAGATGAAATTCAGTCGTAAAAGTAGCACGGCTCTTGTAGCTGGGATACTGGATGAGGAAAGTCGGTCGATAGAGCTCCTGGACCCCATCTCTCTTCTCTCGGGAGCTCAGCATTCTATATATTCTGCATTACGCAATTCTCCCTGTCCCCTCCCCCCCCCCTTTTTTTTCTCTATCTGTATTTGATAAGCCCACTATACCCCCATCTCCGCTTTGAAAATCACAATTAACATTTAAATTTTGATAATACGATGGTTTTTTTTTTCTTGCCCCCTCCCCTCACCATACTTTTCCCCAAAAAATTGTAATATTTTCTAATTTATTTGAAAATTCAATATTACGCAGTATTCTATAAATAACATCCCCTGCTTATTTTTTTTTTTTTCTGAAATTGACGTCAATATCCCATATTGAATTATATTATTTTTTATAAAAAGATTCGTTATTTGTTTTAAATATATAATAGGAAACTTAAATTTCCCGCCAAATTCAAAAATCGCTATTAAATGAATTTTTTTTTTTTCTAACAAGAATTGCATAATATTTTTGCATAGCATTTGCTTTCTTATTATTATCTGTTATCGATAATTATTCTCTATAAAAACTTATTCAACAATTCGGTATTAAAAAAACGGAGGGTGGGGGGGGGATTTTACATAATATCAGCATCATTGTAGAGTAATTTTTTGTGTATACAT